ATATATCGTATGAAAGTTAAGTGTGAAGCTTAAGTGCGAGGAACTATCGCAAATGGAAAAACCAATGCATATGTCACCGGCCGCGACAGCTTTTCGCTGCCTGTGAACTAGTATCAACCATAAATCTTCTTCGCATTGCAGTTCGCTGTAACGGGGTAGCCTTTGACTTGAGAGGAATATGCCGCATATTGATGCTGATTTTACGTTGGCATTCCAGTTCAAGTGCACAACTGCGCTGCATGATGCAGTATTTCGGAAATCCAGCTTAAATGATACAATGCATAGCGTGAATAGTATAATGACACTCCAGAATAGATAGCTGAGTTCACTGCGTGGTGCTTGAATGCATCTCGCTGTGTCCGTTTTTGTTTTTTCACGCAGAAGAACTCCAGGATATGAGATTTCTTCATGTCTTCAGCTTTTCTTCACGTGTCTAAACTATGCGCGAAGCTGTGCAAATTAGTGCTGAGGTCGTTCTGGCATGCACAAGAGTTTTGCTGATGTTCAAGTCTGTCGATTGCTGCTTGTGCGTACGGATGTCGCGCAGCATGCACAATCATCAGGGGCCTCGTCATTTGTTTTACGTTCTGCCGGTCTATTTGCAGAGACTTCATTGAGCGGTAGAAATCGGCATGGCAGCACATGCCGGTGCGAAAGCGGCTATCCCGATTCAGTAGCGAGACACGTTCTGGCTTAGGGACACGCGCGGCAGCATCCTGTGAATTTGGGCGCGCATGACGTTTTTGCTAATGAATAGTGTATACGCCACGTAGTGCTTGCGAAAAAGTAATGCTTGACCTCTCTCAGCTAATACATGAGCAACAGGCTGTTTAACTATAAATTAACCAGACTAGCTTGCCCCTTCCCTCAACTGCGTACATGCCGCGTCGCAGCCGAAGTCACTAAGGCTCACTTAGCGAAATGCCAAACCCTAGGATTTGACATGGCGGCAGCCCCACTACTTAAAAGTGACCCTATACCTTAAATGGACAGAGCTCGCGGCATGTCGCTGGGTTTTTCGCTGTTTGCCTTTAGTGCCTTTATTGCTACGTGCACACTCCTGGTGCACCTATGGTGGCATATAATACGTTCAGCAACCCTGTATCGAACAACAATGCTCCACAAGTAATTAGAATTTGTGACCATTGTATCGGAGAACGCTGCAGATTGGAACTGTTGTTGCTGTCACTGCTACTAAACTATTTGATGTGCGCGCTTTTGCATGCCGGTGATCACAAACGTTACTTAGTGATGCCATTTGACCAAGATTAGCGCTGCCGTGCGCCTAGTAGCGATACGGTATCCCTTTGCCAGGGTAATGGTGTGTTTCGTGCAGCTGGATATTCCATCTGTCCCTTTGAGCGACTTTTGCTCGTCACAGATACCACATGAGCCACTGTTCCGCTTTGGAACTATACGTTGTCAAATTTGACAGGAAGACTTCCTCATTGAACGCATGCTTTGTTTTTTCCTGTGTTAAGGTAGCCATTGCAGCTTCACATATCAGTGCTGATGTGGCTGGTTGCTTTGGGTCATCTTTACCTTTGTCTATGTATCTGAGAAATGAAAGCACCTCGCTTCATTTTGCTGAAGCGAATGATCATACAAGTGAGCCCTTGTCTTTATGAATAGTTTTGACGATGCTCAAGCAAGTAAGAGTGTTCACCTCTTGTTGGGGGAGCAAAGAGAAAAGGCTGAGCAGATCTGATGTGAGAGATATGAGCAAAGCATTGCTTAAGGGGATAAAGGACAGAGAACTGCAGCTTGTGCTTTCAGTGTGTTTGGCTTACCTCTGTGCAATGCAACATCATCTTCGGCATGCCCATGCTGATATACGCTTGAGTGCGGAGTTGCAAATCACTGGACACTGTCTTTGTTGCTTTGGGCTTTATAACGCATTTTAGTTTTGTCCAGTTGCCAACTCCTGCTAGAAAATACAGATCTTAAAATTCTGCTATACTGCGAACATACAAGAAGCGGTGTCTATTTCATCGTGACAGGATTTGTTGTTATCAACGATAACCACTGGACCAGCTCTCACAGGAACAGCTCACAGGATTTTCCGTTCAAAGGTGAGCAACGTGTTAATACAGTACTGCATATGTGAAGCTTTGTAGGACTCTCAGCAGCCAGAACCTTAAATACGATGAGCAAAGCGGAGCTGTCGCAACTGTGAGCGCACAACGCCTTGAAAAATTGGCAGCTTTGACAATGAAGATATGAGATGGATCAACATGTTTTCTGGCACATGCAGTAAATGAACTTAGAAAGATAGGAATTGGAACTGCACAGATCTCTAGCCTGCTTCCTCGTGAATTTGTCGGCACTCTGTTATGTGCATATGAAGTAAGTGAGTCGGCGAGTCGGCTTCGAGCCGGACCCGGTGAGCTCGAGATGAGCTCGTTGTATCCAACTCTCCAACTGATCGGGCAGATATGCACACAGAAAGGAAAGTCTCCCAACCTTTTATGAGCAAGCGCTATTTTTATGAAGCTTCTATGCAAGTACTGTTCCATACCGTTTTATTTTCCAGCAACCGTGGTGCATTCAAAGAACATCGCAGCTGCTCCAGGAAGATTCCGTCATTTGCTTGAAACTTCTTGGAGTTTGAGTTGCTTGGAGGTATTCGTATAAAATAAAAAACTTGAGCTGACAGAGCATGCAGAAGAAATGGGGAGAAAAGCTGCGAATTATGCTTCTGTCTTCCCTTTCGTTTGTTGTAGAGCCCGAATGAAAAAACGGCCACGGCTCTCAGCAGTACCCACCATATACTCGAGACTAAAGATTAGGGCTTCAGAATCCCTCGCTAATGCCCAGAATCTAAGGCTCTAGAATCCACGACTCGAGACGTAAAGGCCTGGTATTAAACTTCAGAGTTTTGCGTTCAGCATTAATAAGAGAAATTAGTTCATGATGATTTGCAGTCCCTGTTTGGGTGATTTGCGGGCTTCAATTCTTTCTTTCCAGTATTTTGGGGTTATGCTTACACGTGTGATTTTGCTCTCCAAAGAGCCTTTGACGGGTTTGGCCTTTTATATGGTTTTTATCTGTGCGCTGATACTGCTGTCAAGGCTCCTGATGTCAGCTCCCATCTTCTGAAGGAGATTCTTTCAGCAGAGACTGCACTGTTTAAAAACAGTATTTAGCATGCTCGTAAAGCTTCATATTTTCGGCTTTTCGTCTTTCAAGATGAAATACTTCATGTTTTCAATGCAATACTTTGCTTAATGTTCTGCGATTCGGGCGTTTCTTTCTGCCTTCACCGTAGGTTTGCTTCGCTTAGGCTCCTTCACAAAGACGGTAATAGCAGCCTGGAAGCCGTTTTTCATTCCCTCTAGGTTCTTGTTAAGTTGCATGCCTTGTTTGATGCAGAAAGACTGAGTTTAGGAACGTTCCTGAGTTGAGTTCATACTGCCAGCATAATGGAAATATCGCCAACAGAATGAAAATACCGCCAACATAATGAAGACACCGACAGACTCCGACTTTGCCAAAAGTGCACCAAACCTAGGTGTGAACATTTCGCCGTGAATAGCGCTTGAAGTTCCACTGCCTTGTGAAGGGCCACCAAACCTAGGTGAAAACATTTCGCCGTGAATAGCGCTTGAAGTTCCACTGCCTTGTGAAGGGCGGCAGATACCGGCTGGAAAATAAGGAACTGACGTCCTTATTTGCAGCTGTGACACTGCCAAGAGTACAGCCACTGAAAAAAAAATCTTTTCAAAGCATGGTGCCTGATACACAGCGCCATGCCTGCAGGTGCAACTCGTCGGCTTGAAGCGTCGCGCACTCTGCCTACAAAACTTGCGGCTCCAGAACACTACACGCAGCCAAAAATGGCCTTGCTTGACGGAATCGTACAAAGTTTAGCTCAAACAAAGCAAATGGAAATCTTAGTTTACTTGTACAGTGCTAGGGCACGGCCACTTCGCTTCTTGGGGGTGCAGCTTCAAGTGGCCGCTTAGTGCTTTGCTTAGCGTCACAGAACAAATCATGAGCTACGCATTAGAAGAGACACCCTTACATGCATATTTGTTCTCTTATCTATTCTTGGGGGCGTGCGCAACTCGCACATCTCCACAGCACGAAATATATGTGCATTAACGAGACGTGAGTAACTGTCACATTCAACTCTAACGCATCTTTGACCTGCGGCCCCTGCATTCACTTTTTATTCACTAACATTCACTTTATATTCACTAACGCCTTTTGCTTCCAGAAGGCCAAGCCGCAAGCCCGCTCATGCTGCAGTCGCATTGTAATGGTAGCGAACTTGTTTAAAACCGGCTGCAGTAGAATGTTGCGGTCGGGCGTTCTGCGTTAGGGCCAGAGCATAGGCTTTAAGGCATTGTGACAGAATTCGGCGGCTAAGCAGAAACTTCCTAGAGAACACATAAAAGTAGCGTGCAAAGAGTAGGTTTAAACCTGAGGTGACTGTGGGTTATTGATGACGGATCTGTGCGGGCGCTTGGCGTGAGGAGTCGGTGCCCACCCAAATGCAACGATAAGCTGGACACAATGCAGATCGCAGAAAATTGCTGTTCACATACTAAGCCGCTGAATATAGAGTGGCGCTCGCATTGTAACCAGTAGGAGGAGACAGATCTTTTTCCCAGATCCAGTCCGGCCTCTGTTCGCAGAGCCCACAGAAGACGTGCAGCATAGTGGGCAGCTGTTGCTGTTGATGCATATGCAACTAATTAGCTGTTTGATCCCTCAAAACCATCAAATTAATTGTCACTGAGCCAGGTAAAAGGAAGAAAATTAACTGAAACCGGGGCGAAGCGGGGCAGGTGCATTAACACGTCTGGTACCGCAGCAGCCTAGTGCCGACCGAGACATTGGTCCACTGGGTGTTGCCTCTGTCCAGTAATGAATCGCAGTCGCCATATCACTGGTTTATTCATTTCATCATAGTCTACTCAATACCACTCTTAGTTGCAGCAAAACCGTACCCAGAATAGCACATCCTCGCAACAGGTCACAACAGCATTCCTACAATGCGTCACAACTTGTTGCTGCTGTCTCTCGCTGCATCGGCAGCAGCAGCTACGGTTCCTGCATCAGGATCTCGGCCACCTTTAGAAGAAATAGCAACGACCGGGCAAAGAGTGGCGGTGCCTTCTCTCCACCTCAACAAGAACGCGCAGCAGCAGCAAAAGGAAGCGCTGCTGCTAAACAACCTGCACAGTTCGCAGGCAGCAGCAAAAGGGTTACAACGGCTGCGCCCCGCAGCTCTGTTGGCGCTTACGTCTTTGGTCCTAGCTGTGGTAGCTGTTATATTTGGTGTACTACAGTGTTACAGGGCCCTCAATCAAGGTGAAAGAACCACGGGTTACGACGCAAATTTGCGCGTCCGCCGCCTCGGTCACTCTGGAGAAGGCCCTTGCTATGTGAGCTGACAAAGCAAAGGGCCGAAAAGAAGCCAAACAGTAGCACGGGGCTGAAACTGACACGATTTTGGATAGCTTATCTCGCTGCTGTGGCTTTCTGGCTACTCCCCTCGTGGCGGGGCTGGTGCTGCTGTATTAATATTGCCACACTGCTGCTCTATGTGTCGTAACGCTGTTGCTTCCGCCAGAGCGATGGCACTGCTGATATGCGGCTGTCGGGTGCTTTTAAGTGGTGCAGCTGTTGTGGATTGCGATGTCCAGCCTCTTCCTTTTGAGAATGTGATGCTGCTGCGCCGCTGCAGCTGGAGCGGAACTGCTGTGGTTACGGCGCTTCTATGATGCTGCTGGTTGTTGTGCTCTGGAAGTACTGAGGATGCTTTCGAAGCTGCCTTTGCTATGCTGAAGGGTGATGTTTGCTCTGCTGCAGTGCTGCTAATCTAGTGGTGCTGGTGTTGCTGTGTTTGTGGTAGTCCTCCCTTTGTGGTGCTGCTCTAGTGTGCCTTAGCGCTGCTGCTGCGGTGACGGTATCGCAGCTATGCTGCAGCTGCTAAGCTGGTGGTGGTGCTGTTACTGTTGTTTTTCTGCTGGCTGTGGTGCTGCTTTTGCGCTGTTGTTCTGGTGACTGTGCTGCGACCAAGGCGCAATGTGCTCGCGGAGGCTGTTTTGTTTGTGCCTGCGTGTGAGTTATTGCTGTTCTTGCCTCCTTTCCTCACCTTTTTCTCCCCTGCTTTTTTTTCTTTTGCAGTTTCCTCTGCGTGTGTAATCTTTTACCTCTGTTTTCCCTTCCTTATCTCTCCTGCTGTTGTTCATATCGGGATTCTCGTGTTAAGCCATTTGTCTATGTCCTTGTGTTGCTTTTTGTACCTCACCATCACGCTAAATCTGCAAGGCATTACGGCCGATTGCGTTGGCCTCTGCAGGAAGTATGTCGATGACATCCATGGTGGTAGACTAGTCTAAGGCTTTGGCACATCTTTAATGGGTTCGTGAGTTGGACTCCATTCCCGTTGGGGTCCATGGATGAATAAAAGACAAATAAAATGCATACACGAGAGAAACACCGTTTTGATTGCCCTTGTTTTGAGTAGAGAGCTAGACATGATTATGTACGTCAAGCTGAAGCACCATTTAAGAAAATGCAAAAAAGAAAAAATTTCAGTTGCGCAGATATACCGAAATTCTGTTGAGGCACGTCGCGACCGTGCGTGATTCTCATGGTTGCTCACGGGTTGTCGTAGCGAGAACCGGTGCGCTGCATGCCAGTGATTGCCGCGCAAAAGATCGCTTTTAATTGCCTTCGTCAACAAGCGCCGCAGTAGGTGCCCTACAAAATGCCTGCCAAAATATTGACGCACTTGCTCGTGCCGTAGCTTGCAGAGTGCCAACGCCGCCAGCAGAGTGCTTAGGAAATGTAGGAGGAGGAAATGCATCGTTTTGACAAGGCGGGCACTGAGTGGGCATGGCGCGTCAATGAAGTGAACGCAACATATTGGGATGCTTGAGAAACCGACAAACTATCGGAACATGGTAAATCATCAATGGGAATTCTCGTTGTGCCAAAGGAAGAGGAAGTGCGCTGGGCAATTAATGCAGACGTGGATCCAGATGAGCAGCTGCTTTGAGTGGCGACTTGTAAATTGAGACACGTGCCTAGCCTAGAAACGTTTGAATTATCGGGTGCAGGAGCCTTCGTGAGATCCTGGTGCCGTCGTTTGAATAAGGAGAGATCAGTGGATTCAACCCCCCCATGAAGTGAACTGCTCACATTGTGGAGCGGATGATTTTGGAGGGCAAATGGGAAGGTGTAGAGGTGACTGACAGCAACAGGAATGGCAGCGCATTTGGCTTAGCCCACTTTGAGAGGAGAGGGCCTGAGCCCAGCGGAAGCAGGCGTTGGCCGCAGTTGCAGGCAGCTGTATGGAGTGGCTTAGGCTTTGGCGTATCGGCTGCTGTGTTGATGGTGCATGCAAAAGATCCCTGAGAATGATGGCATGTGTGGGTTAGCAGGTCAGCAGCGGTAGGTGGCGACTGTGGCCGCTTGTCATGGGTGTTCATGAGGTGTCGTGGCGAGAACCGCAAGCGACGTACGGTCACCAA